CAGCACAAAACACAGCTGTAATGAACAGAAATGCCCCTGTTTGCTTCAGGGGCATTTCTGAGGCCAGCCTTCAGACAAGTATCAAGTAGAACACACACCTTTCTTGCGGCCCCAGTAGTCAATTTCTGCACTGGAACATTCAGCTGATCATGTAGCCTGAAACCATTCACTAATCTGATTTTTAAAAAAAAATAACAGGATGAGAATACCAGGTTAATAGAGGATTTTTTTGTAAATGCAAGCATATATAACTATACCAGCACCGAAAGGAAGCTTGGAAGTATTTTCCCAAATTCTAAGTCATGACGAAAGAAAAATAACTATTTTGTAACATGACATATTTTTCACTTAATAGAAAGGTTTTAAAGAAGCTAGGCACTGGTGGCTCATGCCTGTATTCCTAGCTACTCAGGAGGCCAAGATATGAGGGGATCACTGTACAAAGCCAACCAGGGCAAGAAAGTTCATGAGACTCTTAACTCAAACTTACTACCAGAAAACTGGAAGTGTAGCTGTGGGTCAGTGGTTTTGTGCATCCAGCCAGACTCTCAGTTCAAGTCTCATGACCAACAACAACAAAAAAGTTTCCAAGAAAAGTCTGAATTCTGAATTAGAAAGTGAAAATGGTGATTCCATTTCCAGATAATCTTTCACTAGAAAAAATAAATGATTATTCATTCATAATTATATTCTCTTATTCCTTGTCAGCTATTTTAAACATTTACTCTGTAAGCCTCCTCATCCAGGATGCTGTTCTACCATCCATGTTCTACCACTAACGTTCCCTTCTCAGCCTCCCATTCACAGAGATTCATCATCGATCGAACAAGGCACTCTGCTTCTGCACACAAAGGGACTACAGGACCTCCCTGCCATACCGTGAGATGGCAATGGCAGCCTCCCCCTTCTGCAGTCCTTTCACAGCAGCATACACCTCCAGGTGCTCTTTCGTCGTCAGGAGTGGCCACAGCACGTTCTCCTGAGGACAGTAGCCCAGGAAACTGACTGTGTTATTTCCCTGGTCACCTGTGACGGACCTGAATCCTTTCAGTTCCACCTACAAAATGAAAAGGCTTTAGAAAGATGTTTGACCTTTTCTCCAGATGCACAATTTATCATGAAACTGACATGCAGCTGGTAAGTACCTCAATTGTTACATCAAAAGCACAGGCTGGAAATTGCTTTGTATTTATTACAGAAGACAATGTAATCTACTGATATAGGGTTTCTCCCTTCAAGTAGTTCCTGAAAGGATCTGATGAACAGAAGGTACTTGGCATCTGATGACATTTCAACTCCTTTTATCAACGATTACATGCCCAGCAAAATCAATAAAAGAGGAAAAACATTTGTATAAAGACCAAAGGAAGTACAACCTTATACAGATGGATAGTCTTTGTATTTATCATGAATTTCTACTTGAGAAATGGAAGCCCTTTGTTTTCTTTTTATTACCTCTCCAGCTGTTGGCTTGGTGATCCCAGCAATCATCCTAATGGAGGAAGATTTACCAGCCCCACTGGGTCCTAGCAATCCCAAAATTTCACCTGAAAGGAAAAAAATCAGAATATCAGTATTACAAGTAAAAATACAGATTGACATAAATTTACTTCTTGCATGGAATCTGAAGATTTCTTCTCTGTGCCCATGTCAGAGAATGTCATTTTCAAATTCATAATGTGTAATGGACTTCATGTCATGGAAACATATTCTTAAGTCCTTATAACTTAATAAAATACTGGCAAAAGACATACAAATTTGATGCCAAGAGATCAGTCCCGAGATTTCTTGCTTCATCTAGAAATGTACCCATGTTTTCTCTAGTAGACGACTCCTGCACTTCAGAAATCAGAATCATTCACCCCCAGATTCAACCACCTGTGCTAAAAACTACTATGACTTTTCACCTAATTGATATAACCGACCCCCTTTCCAAATTCATGAGTAGCCAATGTGTGATCTTTTCAAAATCTTAGCTAAAAGATGTCACAAGTCCTCTACTACCAATGGCATTCCACCACCTTGGTATATAAACTATGTATTTTTTATTGTTTAAAATTGTTTAAATCTGTATATAATCTAGCCTGCCTTCCTCTTTGGCTTTATCCATTCCATTCAAAGACACATCCATTGGACTCTTATTTATTTTTTTTGAGATCCAAATACTCCAGAAGTGTTGCTATGCTCACTGAGATTCCTCCTTGAGTGCCCTTGATTCTTAGGGTGCTCATGTAGCTAGCACCTTATTTTCACCCACATCTAGACTTCTATGGCACTGTTCAAAAACACCCTGTCTAGACTATGACCAAACAGCTGCAAGTCATTTATGTCACTTATTATATTTCAATGCTTAATGACTTATATAATACTTGATACATTTTTATAATTTATCATATTCACAGGACCCCTCCTGGAATGTAAAATACAAAAATAAAACTAGGAAATTGTCCAAATTCCTTCATTATTAGAGTCTCAGAGTCCAAACCAGTTCCTAACACACTCAAAAAACATATGCTGGGTGAAGAAATGAATGAAGGTTTCAACAAACAAAATGATGCCTAAGGCATAAATATTCCATGAGTACTTCTGAAAATGAAAGTTTATTTTTTAAAAAAGATTATTTTATAAACAATCACTCCAAACCTTTGTTAACACAGAAAGAGATATTTCTGGTTGCTATTTTCTTCTTTGACTTTGTAAAGCATCTTTTCTTCTGAACTGCATACTCTTTATGTAGACTGCTGGCAATTATGATTGGCTTCTAGAAAAGATGACAGCATGGTTTTCCTCTAAAGTTTTGAACACAGAGGTGGCATTGATATCAACAGGAGAAAGCAGCATGGTTTCACGGAAGGCAGATCCCTGCCAGAATAGCAGTGTCTAACCTCAACATTAATCACAACATTAGTGTTAAATAAAATAAGAACTCTTAAAATCTTAATATCTGCTCAACACTGTATATCAAATCTCATTCAAATTCTTCAGCTCATGAGGTCTTGTTTAGACTGAAAATTGTAGCACTCATTATAAAACCTCAAAAAAAAAAAGAAGGTAACCATTATGTCTTGTGTCCTTTTAGTTTCTAGGACACTCCCAAAGAAGTGTATGTGTATTTAAAGAATAAAAACGTACCAAACTGCCAGGCTTGAGTCTGTAATCCCAACTACTAAGAAGGCTGAGATCTAATGATTGTGTTTCAAAGCCAGCTGGCTGAGGAAAGTCCCTATGAGTCATCTCCACCACAAAGGCAGAAGCAGCCAGGTGCTGGTGGCTCACTCCTGTAATCCTACCTACTTAGGAGGCTGAGATCTGAAGATCACAGTTCAAAGCCAACCTGAGCAGGAAAGGCCGTGAAAATCTTATCTCCAATAAACCACAAGAAAATCAGAAATGGCACTGTGGCTCAAGTGGTAGAGGGCTAGCCTTGAGCTGAAAAGCTGAGGGACAGCGCTCAGGCCCAGAGTTCAAACCCCATGACTGACAAAAAAAAAAAAAAAAGGCAGAAGCAGAGCTGAAGTTCAAGTGGTTGTGCAGTAGCCTTGAGGGCAAAAGCTTAGGGACAGCACCCAGTCTGAGTTCATTTCCCAGGATCATCTCTCTTACACACACAGACACAAACACACAGACACAGACACACGCACACAGACACACACACACACACACACACACACACACACACACATGAAGCAAACTTAAAACAATCTATCAGGGGCTGGGAAGGTGGCTAAGTGGTAGAGAGCTTGCCTTACATGTATGAGGGCCAGGGTTCGATTCCTCAGCACCACAAAAGCAGAAAAAAGCTGGAAGTGGCGCTGTGGCTCAAATGGGGAGAGCACTAGCCTTGAGCTGAAGAGCTGAGGGACAGCGCCCAGACCCAGAGTTCAGGCCCCATGACCGACAAAAGAAAAAAAAAAACAACACCAATCTATCAAACTCTATTTTGGGAAATTCTTGGATATTTCTAGTAGCACCTATTTTACATTTGCTTTTCTACCTCATTTAAATTTGAAACTGTCAGGGCAGTTGATGTCCTTGTTCTTTCTGCTTGAACATCTTCATCTTCATCCACAATTTCTTCTGGATTTGGGTGAACATCTCGACTTTGGGGAGCAATTCTGTGGAAAAAATGGAATATGCTGCATGTCAATTTTTAGTTGTCTAGTAAACTTGTTCAGCCACTTTGGAAAGCAGTATGGAGGTTCCTCAAAAGACTCCACATAGAGCTCCCCTACGACCCAGCAATCCCACTTTTGGGCATTTACCCAAATGTTACAAACAAGACCACACTAAAGCTACCAGCACGACTATGTTTATTGTAGCATTATTTACCATAGCTAAGATATGGAATCAACCCAGATGCCCCTCAGTAGATGAATGGATCAAGAAAATGTGGCAAATGGAATTCTATACCTCCATCAGAAAGAATGACATTACCTCATTTGTTAGGAAATGGAAAGGCTTGGAAAAAATTATATTAAGTGAAGTAAGCCAGGCCCAAAGAAACATAGGTCCCATGGTTTCCCTTATTTGCAATATCTAGTATATGTCTGAGTCAAGCAAAAAAGGTCAGATAAGATGATGTTAGGGAAATGAACCCTAAGATATGTATTCAAATGTTTTTCTTTCATGTGATTGTTTCTAACGCATTTATAAGATTATTTCTTTGTTGCTTTGTATGTCCCTCCCCCACTGTATAACCCCTGCTTTCACTGTATTTGATGTTGGTATAATTTGTGGAGGGGAAGGGGAAAAACAAATCGTTTAAACAGGGATACAGATGGGCCCATTGCAACAATGAGATGTACAAGTCCTTATGTTGAAAACAAACTTTACAACTTTGTTGCGGGGGTGGGGAGAAGGGGAGAGCAGGGATGGGAAGGGATGAGAAGGGGAAACAAAGAAGTAGGCTACAATGCTTGATAAGAAATGTACTCATTATCTTGCCCATGTAATTGTAACCCCTCTGTACGGTATTTTCACAATAAAAAAAATAAAAAAAAATTTTAGTCGTCAAAAGTATATCAAAAGTCAGTGTCCATGTGATTTTACCATGTCCTCTCCCTGAATAAATAACTCCTTATTATGGCTATATCAATGTTGCTTAGGCTTTTGAGAATAACTTCCATCCTGCTATCTGGAATTCCCTTCTTGGTGTTTCTATCATTCTTCTTGTAAGCATCTCAGACTCTTTTGAGCTTATTACAAGTACTGCTACTTCCTATTGAAAATTCAACTCATTTCCATTTCCTTTGCTCATCTTAAGTCAAACTTAATCACATCAGAAATTTGTTTTGTTGTGCACTCTTTCCAGAATCCCTCTCTTTGTGAAATACTCTGAACTCTGTAGCTAAGCCAAATCTACATCCTCTCTTCTGTTTAAGGGCATATACTACCTTGGATGGAAGAATAGCACATTCAGTTAGATACCATTTTTGAGAAACTAAAACTTTCCCTCAGCAGCTTAATGACACTAATATTTTTGAGAGTTCTATTTCTTGGCTGTAAGAAAAAAACCCACTGATACCCATAATACCTAGTATCACACAATCTACATTGTAAATATCAATCCATATTGATAAGTCAATCATACACTATCTAGGAATATTCAACTATCACATTAAATATGGAATTAAGTATTATTGCTACCTGAAAATAGGATCCTTTCGTATTACTTTCTTTCCATATTTTAGTTCCATCCATCTTAGAACAAAAATAAATACCAAAGTCTGGAAGAAAGGCTAGGAGTAAAGAAAAAACAGCTTTATTTAAGTGTAAATTTACAAATATAATTTAAACACTTGAGGGAAAACTGGTGATGTTTTGATTGTCCTCAGATAAAATAGTAGTCATGAATTGGTATAAATTGAATAAGAAAACTAGCTATCCAATCACAATCTAACTTAGTTGAACTTGTTTCCTTACTTTCGGCTCAAAACCCACATGCAGTCTTGCTAGTAAATTCTATATACTCCATCTTCAAAATTACCCATAACTTAAGTATTTTCAACCTTTACCCAAGTTCTGGATATTATATCACATCTAGATTATGGCAACACATTCCTACCTGGTTATGATATTTATGTCTTATACATCTACTTTCATTGCAGTAACCACAACTAATCTTCCCATATATAGGTCTGATCATGTCACTTTGTTTAGCATTGCAATGCATCCTTCATCCCTCAAAGTTGTATAAGGTGACCCAGACTTTATTACTCTTAACTATCTTTCTTATTACCTTCCTCTTGCTCACTGCTAAATCATACCTGGATGACCCTGAACAAGCCAAGCTCACTCGTGCTGCTTCCTAATGGAATGTTCTTCTCCAAGCCCTTCTTAACAATCCACTTAGCACATTGTATTTACATTGTATTTACTTAATTTAATACCTATGTTCATCAGAACATAAAGTCTCCGAGGGCAAGGATTTCAGTCTATGTTAGTTTTTATAACTAGCACAATATTTACACAACTTAAAGGTAGTTGCTTTCTTTGGCCTAAATATGTCAACATTGTCATTAACTCCTTTCATTGATAGAAGTCACCTTTTGCCTTTTCATCTACAAGGTAAATTTTTAATATCTATTGCAGTTGCACTTTCTACAAGCTCTCTCAAATTTAGGAGTAAGCAGTAAGCAAGATAAGTAAACAAAAATTCTGTATCAAATTCTGGATGTGTATATGTGTGTGTGAGAGAGAGACTTTGACATTTAAAATTACGTCTGATAGTCATCATTTTATCTGAGACCATATTTACATTTAACCTTATTAGATTTTAATTATAATTATTACTCCTTATTGTTAAGTAATTGTACAAAGGAGTTTCAACTCAACAAAGCAATTTATGAGTAAAATGCATTCTGATTAATGTTATTCCTAAGACTAATATTTAAAATACTTTGAGAGTGGGCTCACTTCAGACAAGATCAAAAATTTGTAATAAATGATATCTACCCCAAAAGATAATAGATAATAATATAATATATAGATAGATATTATATAACAACATTATATTATTGCAATATAATTACAATTCTATAACATAGAATCATTATTATATAATAATATAATAGAGATATAGAAAAAATTTCTTACTATTAGGCAGATTAGCAAATCAGTTCCTCTAATGTCAAATACTACTTCAGGAAGTTCTCTGGAGTAATAGTAGGATCTCTGAAAACACCGAAAAGATGCCTACGTGAAAATTGTATCAGCTTTATGATGATCATTTAAGTAGTATGATATTTAACATTTTTCTTCATTAAGTTTAATTCTGCTGGGTGTATGGAGGCAATTTTCCTTCAGGAAAGAAATCCTCCTGTTTAGTTCTGTTTTTTGATGAGCAAGAAACACATGTCTGTCTGTTCTATTCCAATTTTCAAAAAGTCCTTGGTTTAAAACCAAAATATTTGCTGAAAATCAATTGAAATATTTAAATGTTTAAAATATTTGTCCCAAATATCCATACAAGATAATTTGTAAAGACTAGTCTTTCCCCAATGCTAAGCACTCATAAGTAATTTCTTATGTTATTCCTTTTTCATCAGTCAACTCAATTAAAAAAATCCCACCTCATTCCTCCTATATTAGATGTGGAAGTTCTACCTAAATTTATTTCACCTTGCATGTACACTTAGGCCTTAAAAAGCAAACACTTTTACCATGGGGATAAGTTTATAATCAAGAATTCCTGTTATTGCTAAGCTCAGGGGAACGTATTTTGACAGATGGAAGGCCTTCCCAGTTCCTCTACAACACAAATAATGTTACCTCATACTTTCTTTAAAACTATTTCGTGTAGGCTAGCGCAGGGTCCCCAAAAGTGTGTTCTTGACTTCAGCTATCCTGCCCTGGCTTCTTGTATATTTCTCTCCACTTTGACCACATTCAGTCTCCCTAACAATTTGTGATTTGTTTTCAAATCTAGTGCTTTTGTTTACTTCTGTAGAATGTATTCACTGCCTGTTTCACTCTCCCACTACTTATTTGTCACCCATCCTTTAGGAATGTATTTAAACATCATTTTCCATAATTGACTTCAAAATGCATCTGCAACACTTTGCATGTTCTCCCTTGGTACTTTGCCTTTCCCCTTTGTTAGCATTGTGTTCAATTAAAAGCTATAGTCAATAGAGCATTTGAATGAATAGTATTTAACAGCGTCTGTATTTTACATAAACAGGACAAAGCTTTAAAAAAAACTGTACGAGGGCTGGGAATGTGGCTCAGTTGTAGAGTGCTTGCCTAGCATGTACAAAGCCCCGGTTTGATTCCTCAGTACCACATAAACAGAAAAAAAAAAAAAAAACACCTGAAGTTGTGCTGTAGCTCAAGTGGTAGGGCACTAGCCTTGAGCCAAAGAAAGTCAGAGACAGTGGCCAAGCCCTGAGTTCAAGCCCCATGACAGGCAAAAAAATAAACAACAACAAAACAAAAACAAAAAAAAACACCACCACCAAAAAATTGTACTAAAATTCAATTTCATGACACAAAATTTATTCATTTTAAGTCTACAACATCAGGAGTTTTATAATTTGCTATGTAATCATTACCACAGTTCAACTTCAAAATATTTTAGTCATCACAAAGAAATCCCACATGCCCTTTTATAGGTATTCCCTATTCCCACAGATGATAGCATCCCTTACCTCTGCCACAAAGAATAGATATCCACACAAGGAAGTGGTAGGAATCAATATCATGCTGGGAATGAGTATACTTAGGTCCAAGTAAAAGATTGTCCAGAAGTAGACAGTGATTATAAAGAACTACAAAGAAAATCCAAACATATTACTTCAGACATAGTGAAGTTCAAGTTTGAGTTTCTTCTATTTGGAATACTTGACCCAGAAATGTTTTAGATTTTAGACTTTTTTTGAGATTTTGGAATATTTCATGTGATGCATTGGAATGGAACCAAAGTCAACACAAAATTGATTTGTTTCATATATACTATATATATTCACTTATTTGTATATGTGTGGGTATATACATATATGTTACATAATATGATTTTTATATAGTGCTACCTGTGTGTGAATATGTATAGCATTCCATGGTCTACTGGGAACACTGAATAAATTGTAGTATATATCTTCATTTGAATACAACCCATCACAAGTCAGGTGTGACATTTTTCATTTGTGGTACCATGTCAGCTCTCAAAAATTTCTGGATTTACATTTGAGATATTGGAGTTCAAACTATATCAAATTTTCCCACATCTCAAAGCAAATGTGTATATATTCCACTGAAAGTTTAAAATCACCATCTTCTATACATATGTGTGGACTTACAATACAAAAGCAAAGTGACCAGAGGCTGCTGTTTTTCTTCCTCTTGCAAAATGTAAATGATATCACATATGTCAAGGAGATCAGAGAAGTTGAATAACCAAAAGAATAAGCAACCTAAAGATAATTCAAATAGTATCTCAGTCAAAAAATGAAATATCGTTTGAGGGATAACTTAAAATTACAAACATTCAAAGATAGTTTATTGTACATGTATTTTGCATTTTTGTGCATGAAGACATCAGCTCAATTATACAAACTAGCAATATTAACATTTATTTTCAGTTGGTTTATATAATATGCCTTACCGTAGCAAATACCATTCGACTTGTAATGGAAGAACCCTTCAGTTTTGTTACATAGACGATTACATATGTTAACATGATAATGAAATTGAACAGGGTAACATCTGTCACTGCCTGCCCAAACCAATAAGCAGAATGGTAAAGGCCTGAAATCCATAGCTGAACATCAGCTTTTTTCTGGTGAGAAAACACAGATGTACATAGGTTCAGTTAAAATGGAAATGTCTTTAAAAGCACATTAAAATAATTTTTAGAATAAATATAATCTCTTAATGGTATTAAAAATTATACTCTCTAGAAACCTACTATCTCTAAATCCAGTTCTAAAATAGTTGTCCATTGTGTTTAAAATACATTTTTATTTGGTAGATTTGATTCATAATACCTCTTTAACATGTGACTAATAAATAGAAAAGAAGACCTCATAATGATCATTGAAGCACTTTCAAAAAGAAATACTATTGTAGGACCTACAGGACAATGTTGTGACCTAAAAATACAGAATACCTTTTCTTTGAACATTTTCTCAAGGAGTTACTGTCTCTGGACGTTTAAAGTACACATCTAAATCTGCTGTTAATGTTTCTGTGTATAATATGCATAAACACAATGTAATACAAAATTAAGTTTTCCAATGTGAAAATTAAATCCAAGTCTTCAATTTCAACACTAATATTTTCTCCTTGGAGTTAGGAAATAATGCAATCTATCTATCTATCTATCTATCTATCTATCTATCTATCTATCTATCTATCTATCTATCCATCTATCTTATTCCCCTTTGAAGACTTAGATTAAGTCTGAAAAAAATGTTTGTGGGGCTGGGAAGGTGGCTCAGTGGTAGAGTGCTTGCCTTGCATGCATGAGGCCCTGGGTTTGATTCCTCAGCACCACATAAGCAGCAGAAAGTGGGGCTGAGGCTCAAGTGGTAGAGTGCGAGATTTCAGCTGAAGAGCTGAGGGACAGTGCCCAGGCCTAGAATTCAGACCCCACGACCAACCAAAACAAAAAAAAAAGTGCTTTCTTGTAGCATTAAATCAAAAATCCTTTTGTATTTTAAGGGTGATGGGGGTAGGAGGTCTTTCTACATCACACATAATGGCCTTGATCTGTCTATGCAGTCCAAGTTGGTGTTGAACTTTCAGTCTTCCTGCCTCTGCCCCCCACACACAAGTGGGATTTCACATTTGACTGACCTACTTTGCATTTTGAAAAGTAAGTTTTCTGGCTTCCTAGAAGCCTTGTTTAACTACAATACCTAAATTACAAATTCATTTCAGTGTCCCCACCAGAGGAAAACATTTTGGACACATACACATTAAAATTACTGAAATTCCTTACTCCCATTCCCCACCATCCTTCTTACTTTGTAATCAGTAGCACTGCTCATGGCAATGTAAGGAGAAATATTGGCAACTACTGAAAACAAGAACGAGAAGTCTTCAAACCCAAACCAGATGATGATATCGGCCTGCAATATAAAAGGGACTTTAAACTACAGAATATTTTAATGAAATATATATTAATAATTACAAAGAACAAACTTTTGGAAATACTGAAAAATTAAAGTATACATATAGTTCACTGCTACAAAGGAGAGGGAAATGATTTTTTTAATATGAGCTTCAACTCAAAGAACAAAGAGAAGTCAAAAGCTGCTTTTGAGTTTATATCTCAAAGAACTAACAGCAGGATTTTATGCTCATTTAGGTGTTCATAGTACCATTATTCACAAACATTAGAAAGAACCCACTAGTAGATGTAAACAAAACATGTTATTTATACCTGCCATAAAATAGTATTCTGCTTTAAAAAGGAAGAAACTCCTGTCACTTGCTTTAACTTGCATAGTATAATACTAAGTGAAATAAAGCAGTTATGAAGTGCTAGCTGAACACCAGCAAATTCCTGCCTATCGTGCTAAGAATATGAGATTGATATTGGGAGGATCATGGATCCAAGCCATCCTAGGAAGAAAAGTCTGAACAACGACATCTCAACAGAAAGGAGCTGGATCTGATGGCATGTGCAAAAGGCCTTGTCCCAGTGTCATCACACACACACACACACACACACACACACACACACACACAATTTTTTAAAACAAAAGAGTTGAAGTAGTTACCAGAAAAAAAAGACTGGATAAAGAGTCATTTAATGTGTACAGAGTTTTAGATCCACAAAATGAAAACATTCTGGGGACTTAATTCACAACCATGTGAATATACATAACACTAATGAATCTGACACTTAAAATGGTCAATTTCATGTTTTGATCACAATAAAATAACTAGTAATCAGGAACTGTGACCCTTAGTTAAGTGATAATTCAGGCCTATAAAACATATCTTGCTCCAGAAACCAGAGGCTGAGGATGTAGAGTTGAGTAGGTGAGGAATTTATCAACTGGGTAGGTGTGTTGTGTATCACAGGGTTAAAAAAGGAAACATGTCACTATCAAACTCATCTCCAAGAAATTTAAATCTTGACTCCATAATCAGTTTTTCTATAAGGCTGGTCTAATCCCAAAGCCAACTGTAAAACTATCTCATAGGTAAAACAATAAGAAAACAAAAGTTTATCTTGGAATAATTCTGTACTTCTTGGACTTTATTTATAACCTCCAGTTTTTCTCCAAGTGGGAAAATGCAATCCTGTCATCACAGGAGTGATGGGGTTTCACTGAAGGTGGGCTGTGACGAAGAGATTAATCAAAACCTCATGAAACTAAAACTGTCCAATCTACAGCATTAAGTGGTAGCACATATTAGGTGGTCAATAAACAGTAAGTTAAAAAACAAATGTCAGGACTGGTAAGGTGGCTCAGTGGTAGAGTGCTTGCCTTGCAAGCATGAGGCCCTGGGTTTGATTCCTCAGTACCACATAAACTGAAAAAGCTGGAAATGGCACTGTGGTTTAAGTGGTAGAGTGCTAGCTTTGAGCTAAAGAACTGAGGGACAGCACCCAGACCAGAGTTCAAACCCTATGATTGACAAAAAAAAAAGTCAAGGATTTGCCTAGTGCATCTAACACATATCTTCTCAATCTGGGAGATTTTTCAGAACATTGTTTCCATGATACTATAGTTTTCTCTCATATGCACTGTGCTGCTAACATGTATTATTCATACTTTCTAAAATCAGAACAAAAGTACTTAGAGTTAGCATCATATAAGATCATAATCCTGCCCCAGGTAACAAATCCCCCAATAAATGACCTTTTGGAGAATATATCTACACACCACACACACACACATACACACACACACACACACACACACACACACACACACACACACATTTAGCCTAAATGAATAGTCCCCAGAGGTATAATAAATATACAGTCTATATAATGCATACTCGTTTATGATAAATGTCATAACCAAATAAAATTGTTTTCTTATTCTTCTTAATGACCCTGGCCTCTCTCATGTGTAACCTACATTTAACTGGTAACATTCTAGGCTACTCATACTAACTGCAATAGGCGGAAGAGCTTGAACTTCAATAAAATGTGCATTAAGTGACTTAGCTAATTTAACTTCATTAATCTTTGCCCCAATAAAACCATCTAAAGCCTTCCGAGCAGCCTATGCTTCATCTACAACACAAACATGCCCCTGTAGGAAGTCAGCACCCACACCATGAGGAAGCCCTCACTACCAAATCATCAAAGAGGGGTAAAGGACAGCATAATTCCCAGGAACAGGCGCTGACTGCATTTACAACTCACTCCATTTCATCATCTGAATCAAAAGTAAGATGAATATTGAAAAATAAATGTCTCCTCTGATCTTTTTATGGAGGGAGGAAAAAAAGTTACTGATCAAACATATATTGTATTTGTAAAATGCTTTTTATTACATGGCGACCCTTTTGTACAACTACTTAATAATAATTCTTAAAAATAAGTTTTAGAGGAAGTGGCACTGTGGCTCAAGTGGTAGAGTACTTGCCTTGAGCTGAAGAGCTCAAGGACAGAGTCTAAGCCCAGAATTCAACCCTCATGACTACAAAAAAAAAATAGAAAAGATTCATTGTTTGAATGGTAACTTATGAAACATTTATGACAAACCAAAGACTTCTTGACTAAAATAAATTTAATTCATTTGTTTCTAATAGGATTAGTAAAAAAAAGTGGTAATAGCAATTGATGTTCAGAATTTTACTCCATTGGACTGAATTTTTAAGCTCTTTATGTTATCAACAAAATTTCAATATTTAGTCAAATGTTGTTACACCTGAGATTTTTTTATTTACTCATCTTGGTGCAAATTCAGACTGTGCCCTTATCTATGTTAAGCTGTCTGCCACTAACCTATCCCCTAGTTAAGAAATGCAATATTATGTAATATTATGTAATGTTTATGAATCCTGATCTTTGAGCAACTAAAAAATGAAGCTAAATGATAAAGTAACATGATCTGAAAAAAAAGACTTGGTCCATTTTGATCTGGAGTAAACAGGCAATGAAATAAAGAAATGAAAAATCCCAGAGGGGGTATCACACCCAGAGCCGTGCATGTGCTACATACAAAGTGCTCTACTTCTGAGCTATATCCTCAGCCTATGGTTCCATTTTCTGAAGAGTTGCCTTCAGACAAGATGATCTTAAACCATCCTGTGCTGTCCCTGATCACATGATTAGTGAAACCTTTGTCAAAAGTTGGACTTCCCTTCTATCCAGTCCATTGGTAATCCTTACTGTTTTAATAACCTTCTGGCATGAAATACTTGGAAGTTCTTTTGTGTGTCAACTACAACCACCTTAAATACTTAAAACATAAATCACTCATGAAAGGTTGCATGGATGGTCATCCTCTAATAAAGATGATGAGATGGTAAGCCAGTGTCACTCTCTGGCTGAAGACACAAAGAAAAGACATAATGTGACTGGAACCCCTGTGGCAAATCTCTCTGCTGTCCATAACTTCTTCCTCTTGTCTAAATTGTCTACAGCCAGAATCATGAACATGTAGTCTATGTGCATCAGATACCCTTGTTATACAGAGTAGGTAAAGGAATGAATCAGATAGCACCCAACTCCATGACTGCTAAATTCTCCTCTGTATTTGTCCATTTCACCAATGGAAATTCTATTAACAAATTATAGGATGTTTATAAGAGTCTAAAGCAGGATCACAATGCTCCTCATTTCTAATTCAGTGCTTTCTGTCCTTCTCTAATATCCATAATTAAGTACACATATGTATCTTTTCATAATGTCCCCTTACGGGGCCTTGGAAAGTATTTACCCATGAGATTTCTCTACTACCCTAGCAAGAAAAAGAAAGTCCTATTTTATTTGATACAACTTGTTTAAAATATTACTACAAAATAATCATCTTTGGGATCAACGCTAAATTATCAAACATTTAAAAGTTAATGAGTTTGATAATGTTTTTTAATATTTTTATTGCAAGGATACTGTACAGAGGGGTTACGGTTACATGGGTAGGGTAATGAGTACATTTCCTATCAAGCATTGTTACCTCCTCCTTTGTTTTTCTCCTCCTATCCCTTCCCAACTCCCCAACTCCTCCCTCCCCCCTCAATTTTTTTTGTAGCTCTGATGTTTACATGAATTTAGGGCCTGGTAATTGTTAGACAAGAACTCTACCATTTGAACCATACTTCTGTTTGCTTTAGTTACAATTTTTTAGTAAGTTTTTGTCTGGGATCAGCCTCAGACCACTAATCCTCTACTTATGCCTTTCACATAGCTGGGATCCAAGGCATATACCACCGTAGTCTGGTTCATATTTTAAGGTGGGGTCTTGTTAACTGTTGCCTGGGCTTGCCTTGAACTTCAGTCTTTCTATTCTGCACCTCCAAAGTATCGGATACTATAGGTATGAGTCACCACTTCTGGTTTAGTTTTTTCCCTGCATTTTTGTTTATATCATACATTAGTTTCAGAAAGGGGTTGCATTTTGATGTGTTCATATTTGCATACAACATCCTTGATCAGACTCACACTGTCACTTTCTCATCCCCTTCCACATACCAATCCAATCTACACATTTTCATATGTGTACATAGAACATTTCGACCATATTCACTATTCTTCACCCTCTCTGCTACCCCTTTCTTCTAATTATTCTCATACCCAGACAGGATCTGTCATTCACTTGTTAGAAGTATCTGTTCAGTATAATTCACACATGCAAACAAACAGTAAATAGAATACTTACAAAAGTAAATAAATTTCTTTTGATTTGAATATACTGTGTATGGTTGAACATATGAAGTAGTCCATTGCTGATGATATTCATAAGGACAGGAAAACAGTGCAGCCTCTTGGTGTTGCACACAACTGAAAATCTATAATCCTTAATACAAACCAAGACAAATATAGTAAGTAAGAGTCTAAATCTTTGAAGAACAAAGAAAAGGTGCTTTTATAAAGAGCCCAACAGTACCCCTTTTCTGGTGGGTGTCAGGTGACTTTCCTGAGTGTTGGCTTCCTCCTTTCCATGGGCTCTATGGTTTAAATGACATCACAGCCAGTGGGGAGTACAGAGTCAATATCTACTAAGTACAATTTTTATAAGTATTCCTCATTGCATATTATTTTCTCCCCATTTTGCTTGTGAGGAAACTTCAATGAAAACTGCTTAAAAGTAGCCCAGACAAAAGTTTACCATGAGCAAACAAAATGCCAATCTGCTAGACAGGAGATAAATATGGAATAGATAAGACATCATGGTACCATTGCCACTGAGGTATTTTCTCACTTCCTAAGACATTTATATTCCACATTTATAAAAACACTCATGTATTCAATCATTGTTACTTACATACTATCAGAAGTGCTGTGCAATAAATAACAAGATAAACGAAGTAGTTGTCAAACAAAAGAGTTTCTTAAAGTTAGCACTATGTGACTGAATGTTCACCAATTATTATTTTGGCTTTTATTTCTATTACCCTCCTTTTTGTTTTCTTCCCTTCTTAGTAAGAAAGAAAAGGGTGGTTTCATTTAACTGAACTATTCAATTTCACTGGAATGCAAAGACTCAAGAGTTTCATTCAGGACTAAAATGTGATTTTTGGGGTTTGTGTGTGTGTGTGTGTGTGTGTGTGTGAAAATACTGTACAGAGGGGTTACAATTACATGGGCAAGATAATGAGTACATTTCTTATCAAGCATTGTAGCCTCCTCCTTTGTTT